GGTTGCTGAGGCTGGCCTGGAACTTGCATGATAAAATGTCATCTCTTGTCACTTGCTAGATAGTTACTAGAAGCTCTTACRGAAGCAAGTAGGCAAAAAACCTGGAGCAACTGGGCAGAATGAATTACTTAGTTGCTGGGAACACAGTCATGCATTGCTGTGCCTGGCAATTCCTAATTAATTTATTTTTTAAAAAAACATGGTGTCATTTTTAAAAATACCTGTATTTTGCTTATTTATATTTATATGGTGCTGGGGATCTAACCCAGTGCTTTACGAGTGCTAGGCAAGTGCTCTACCACTGAGCCACAACCCCAGCCCTAATTTATTCTTTTCGATGCTATTTTAAATGGAATTATTTCTTAATTTAATTTTCAGATTATTCATTGCAAGTGTTGGAAATACAACTGATTTTTGTATATGGATCTTGTATTCCAAAACCTTGCTGCACTTGTTGTTCAGTGCTCCAAGGGTTCCATTGGACATCATGCCCCCTGCAAGTGGACACAGGTGTCCTTCGTCCTCTCCTCCAGGTTCTCCAGGTTTTTATTGCCAACTTGCTTCCGTAAGAGCTTCCAGTGACTATCTAGCAAGAGTGACGAGACAGACATCTTGTCCTGCCCCTGGTGTAGAGAGAATGCATTCATTGTTTCAACTATCAAGAGTGACGCTGTCACAGAAGCAGAGAGGATCGCTGCCAGGGTCAGGAGGGCAGGGAGCTAGGGAGTCACTGTTAAGGGGTGTAGAGTTTCAGTTATGCAAGATGAATAAGTCCTAGAGGTCTGCTCTACAACGTGCCAACAGTCAACGATTCTGTACTGGGCATTTAAAAACTCCATCAGAGGATAGTTCTCATATGATGTTCTTACTACAATTTGAAAACAAGGGACAACCACTATGTTAACTATGGATTTTCATACAAATGCTTGATCAGGTTTAGGGAACTCCTTTCATTCCTAATTAATTGTCTTTATCAGGAAGTGCTGCATTTTCTCAAATGCTTTCCAGTACCTACTGAGATGATCATGTGACTTTTGTCCTTTATTTCACTCTTGTGGTATATAATGGTACTGATTTGGGGATATATAATTAACCTGCATTCCCAGAGGCCCAGAACCCCACCTGGATGAGGCACGAAACCTTTTGTATGTTGTCATGTCACGAGCCAGCCATGGGCTGTGTGTGTGAGCTATACACATTTGCGCTCATGAGGGGACTGGCCTGACATTGCTGCCTGACTGGGCTGTGTGACATGTGTGCCTTTCCTCTCGCTCTGCCTGTGATCCCACGCAGCACCTGAGATGGGTGTGTCTTTCCAAGATGTCAATCTGCTGACCTCAAGACATCAGCAAGCAAGACTCCACCTTTCAAAACCCAATCCCTTGCCTTATTCGATTGGAATATTCTTGAATGTCTTTTCCCCAATAGAAGGTTCCAGGTGTGCTCCTTCTCTTGCTCCTTCCAGTGCTGGAGCTGACTGCTGGGTCACCAAGCTGTCCTGCTTTAGAAACTTATGTTCATGTGCTGTGTGGTTTCTTTGTCATTTTCTTAGTTATTGATACAGCCAGCTCCTTTGAACCCAGCTCATATCACCAATCTGGCCAGTTGGTGATATTGCTGGAGTGGCTTTGATATCATTGGGAATTCTTGTATCTCTATCTACAGGGGACATTGTTCTGCATTTTTCTTATGTAACACTGACCTCACAGGGTGTATTGAGAATTGTTTCCTCTTCTTTAACACTTCTAAATTTTGAAAGTTAGAACTTTTAAGAATTAACAATTTAAAGAATTAACACCAACCCTTGTCAAACTTTTCCTAAGAAATGGACTCATTCTATGAGACTAAGATCCTCAAACCCCTATAACAAAGCCAGGCAAAGATACTAGAGTAAAAGGAAACTACAGACCTTATCCCTTGTGAATATAGATGCAAATGTCTTCACCAAAATCAGAGCAACTATATGGAGCAGAATACTGAAAGGCTCAGACTCACAACCAAGTAGAAGTCATCCCAGTATCTCAGGAGTGTGTCAATAATGAACTGGGATAGCTCAGTTGGTAGAGTGCTTGCCTCACATGCACAAGGCCCTGGGTTTGATCCCCAGAAATAAGTAATGAACACAAAATAAATAAGTAATGAACACAAATCAATGTGATATAGCACATAAACAGATCAAAGGGGAAATCCTGGGTCCATTTAATTGATGCATAAAAAGTTGACAAAATTCAATACACTTTTATCATCATGACTCTCAGAAAACTAGTAATAGACAAGATTTTTTTCAACATGATAAAGGACACTTATGAAGAATCCACACCTAACATCATACACAATGGTGAAAAATTGGAAATGTTTCCTGTAAGAGAAGGAATAAGGCAAGGGTGCCCACTTAAACCACTGCTATCTAAAATTGTACTGGAAGTCTAGTCAGAGTAACTGGATAGACAGAAAGAAAAGCATCCAAGTTGGAAAGAAGTAAAACCATCCACAGATGATGTGATCATACATCTATAACACCCAAGCAATCTACAAGAATCTATAAGAAAACTCATCACTCAAGGCTAAGGGGCGCTCGGTTCCTATGTGGCAGCTCCTGACAGATTGAGAGTTCAAAGCCAGCCTCAGTAACTTAGGGAGGACCTAAGCAACTTAGTGAGACCCTATCTCCAAATATAGTATAAAAAGGGGCTGGGGGATATGTCTCAGTGGTTAAGCAACTCCTGAGTTCAATCCTCAGTACCAAAAAAAAAAAAAAAAAAAAAAAGAGAGAGAGAGAGTAACTTAGGTAAAGAAGTTAGAGCTGCGTATATGTCAGAAGCATTCACCTCAAGGTTTTCCTGTCATAAGAGAACAAAGGGACCCAGTACTGGGGAAGGGGGGCGGTGGGAAGAAAGATAACAACAGAGAGATGTGGCAGAGCCTTTGGAGTTTGCAGTCCTAACAAGGAGCAGCTACTGACTGAGGCAGGGGACTACCCCTCATCCCTACCTGAGCTGCCCACCCCTGTTACCCACACCCTCCCCTGAGCTTCAAGCCCCCTCTACCCTAATAGGGTCAGAGGCCAAGCTCTAACAATCAGGCAGTCCCCCCTGCCCACCCCTTGGCTCAGTGAGAATGGGAATCTCCCTGGGGCTTTTCTGGTGGGGCCCAGGGTCTTTCTCCCTCTTGCCACCATTGCCCAGGGCCCTGGTGGGCAAGGGGCCAACTTGGTGGGAAACCGGTAGGAGAGGCAGTTCTTGCTCCCTTAAAAAGAAAAAAAAAAAAAAAAAAAGAGAGAGAACAAAGGGAGGAGGGGACAGCTAAATGTATATTTCTTTCTTTCTTTCTTTCTTTTTTTTTTTTTTTGAGGGGCTACCGGGGATTGAACTCAGGGGTGCTCAACCACCACTGAGACACATCCCCAGCCCTACTTTGTATTTTATTTAGAGAAAGGGTCTCACTGAGTTGCTTAGCACCTCACTTTTGCTGGCTTTGACCTCTAGATCCTCCTGTCTTAGCCTCCCAAGCTACTGGGATTACAAAGTTTTCCCACCACAAGAGAACAAAGGGGGAGGTGGGTACAATTAAAGGTATATTTCTTTAAATCACTCAACAGGAGACAGTAAAATCTAGGCGACTTCAAGAAGACTGTACACCCCACAGTACTCAGCCAATGAGGAACCAGGGGAGGGACCTTGTGCTCTGGGGATAAAACACTGATTGTAACTGCTCTGGATCTGTGGACCCCCAGSCTCCGGATCTTGCAAGACTGTTATTAAAGTCTCACTTTTTTTTTTTCCTTTCTGTACCTGATGTCTCCTTGCCCATTCTTTGGGGTTGGGCAGGTCAGCCTGTTTCTCACAAGACCCAGGCATTTGCTACAAAGTATACTTCTAAGTTACATTTCAGTTTATGTTCTAATTTAGTTTGCAATTTACTGCCTAGGGATTCAAGGTAGGGAGGCAACCTCCTGCCAAATGTCAATGTAATAGTGCTAAGAAAACTTTTGTTTGCAAGAAGAGAATTACTCACAATAGCCAAAAGGTGGAAACAACCAAAATGTCTAGATATATCGACATAATGGAATATTTTTTTTTGGCCACAGAAAAGTGAAGTACTGATACATGGTGCAATTTGGGTGAACCTTGGAAACATCATGCCAAGTGAATGAAGCCAGATGCAAGCCATATGGTTCCATTCATAGGAAATAGAGAACAGAAAAGCGCACAGAGAGAGAAAGCAGATCAACGGTTGTTAGAGCAGGCGGTTGGGGAGTGGGGAACTAGACAGAGGTGTGACTGCACACTAGTGTGACTGTACTAAATGTCATGGAATTGTTCAATTACCATGGTTAATTAGGCTCAGTGGCACATGTCTATGATCTCAGCGACTCCGGAGGCTGAGGCAGGAAAATCGCAAGTTGGAGGTCAGTCTGGGCAATTTAGTGAGGTTCTGTCTCAAGAAATAAACAGGGCTGGGAGTGYAGCTCAGTGGCCAGCACCCCTGGGTTCAATCCCCAGTACCAAATAAATATACAAAGTGGTTCATTATGTTATGTGTATTTCGCCTCCATAAAAAGATAAAATGTAAACATTTATACTTATGTGAAACACTGACATTTAGGATTTGCTTCAAAATAACGTAGGCGGGTGAGAATACAAAGAGTTACCAGGGTTTGCAGAGGCAAATGAGTCCGAAGTGGACAAAAGCACAACAGGGAGCCACAGCAATCCAGCCTAGAGGACCGCGCTGGTGCCAGCGCGCGTTGGTGGAACGAAACCAGGGGCTGCCGGGGCAGGGAGCCCCGACGCCACTCCTCCCTCCTGGGGGTCAGAGGCAGCTCCTGCGCACGGGCTCTCCCACTTCGCCACCGGAGCCCACCTGGCCACACCTGCTGGGAGCCTGGGGTAGGGCCGAGAGCTCAGCGGCGCACTTGAGGCCACACCCCGGGGCGGGGCCCGCAGACTTCTCGGCGTCCGCCTTGCAGCGGCGGGTGTCGCTCGACCGGTCACCGCTTCCCGCGGAGTGCGGGCGCCGAGTGGGGGCCGCGCCATGGCTGCTGCCCAGCCCAAGGCCCCTGTGGGGGCGGCCGCGGCCCGGCGCCTGGCCCGGGGCTGCTGGTCCGCGTTCTGGGACTACGAGACGCCCAAGGTGATCGTGGTGAGGAACCGGCGCCTGGGGGTCGTGTACCGCACGGTGCAGCTGCTCATCCTGCTCTACTTCGTGTGGTGCGCGGGCCGGGCCGGGCCTGGAAGGGGCGTGGGTCGGGTCGGGAGCTCTGGGTCAGGGGCGGGCTGCAACAGGCTCCAGCCCCGCCCAGGCCGCCTAGGACCGGTGCTGCCCTGCCCGCAGGTACGTATTCATCGTGCAGAAGAGTTACCAGGACAGCGAGACAGGACCCGAGAGCTCCATCATTACCAAGGTCAAGGGCATCACCACCTCGGAGCACAAAGTGTGGGACGTGGAGGAGTATGTGAAGCCCCCCGAGGTGCGCCCTGTGCCCCTAGCCCCCGCGCCCCCACAGTACAGGCACAGCGAGCTGCCTAGACCACTGCCTCCTCTTTTTGCGAACAGGGGGGCAGCATATTCAGCATCATCACCAGGATCGAGGTCACACCCTTCCAGACCCTGGGAATCTGCCCGGAGGTGAGGCCACTGGTTGTTTTGGGGATTGCATTAATTAATGTATTAATTACATTAATTTACATTCTCGGKCCTGGGGAACTCTAAACCACCTGCAGGGTTTTGGTCTCTGACTCTGCTGTCTCCATCCTAGAGCATAAGGGTCCACAATGCCACCTGCCATTCGGACAACGACTGTGTGGCTGGGGAGCTGGACATGCTGGGCAACGGTCAGTGTGCACCTGGGAGGGCAGTGGGGAAGCAGGGCAGAGCTGCCTCCCATAGGCAGCTTAGCCAGCCTCTGCTCCACAGGACTGCGAACTGGCAGATGCGTACCCTATTACCACGGGGCCTCCAAGACCTGCGAGGTGTCCGGTTGGTGCCCAGTGGAGGATGGGGCCTCTGTCAGGTGTGCAGTGCCCAGCTCCTTTCTCCTCTCTGACCTGAGTCCAGATGGGTGGAGGAGGGCAGGAGTAGTGGCGTAGGAGGGTGGAAGGGGGATTCTGGGACCGGTGACTAAACCTGTCTGTGCCTCCTCAGCCAATTTCTGGGTACAATGGCTCCCAATTTCACCATCCTCATCAAGAACAGCATCCACTACCCCAAATTCCAGTTCTCCAAGTAAGAGCCAGCAGGGCATATGATTGACGGGACCACTGTGGAGGGGCTGCTGCCTGGGGGCACAGGCCTCTCTGCCTTCTGCTGCTTCTCAGGGGCAACATCGCAGGCCGCAAGGATGACTACCTCAAACACTGCACTTTCGACTACGTCTCCGACCCTTACTGTCCCATCTTCAAGCTGGGCTTCATTGTGGAGCAGGCAGGGGAGAACTTCACGGAGCTTGCACACAGGGTGAGGGTGGTGGGATGGCAAGGCTGGGCAGCGTCTGCCACTCAGGAGGACATCCCTCCTGTCTGGACCAGCCCTGGCTGCATTCTGGAAGGAGAGGCTTGACCGSCTGACCCACCTGTGCATGTGTCTGCTCAGTTATTGACACCAGCCCACATGGCCTCTAAGGCTAGGTGTTCACCTGCACCCTGTATGCTGGCCTGGAGCTGCTAGGCCACAAGGGTTCCCTGCCACCCCCCATCCCCCCAACAGGGTGGTGTCATTGGGGCCATCATTAACTGGGACTGTGACCTGGACCTGTCTGCATCGGAATGTAACCCCAAGTACTCTTTCCGGAGGTTGGACCCCAAGCACGTTCCTGCCTCCTCAGGCTACAACTTCAGGTACCTGTGCTCGGGACATCTGGGCCCAGGAGATGGACAGTGCCTTTGCCCTGACCCTCCAGCAGTGGCCCCAGAGAGGAAGGGTGTGCAGGCAGCCTGGACAGCGTCTGGCTCATTCCAYCCTAGGTTTGCCAAGTATTACAAGATAAATGGCACTACCACCCGCACACTCATCAAAGCCTACGGAATCCGCATCGATGTCATTGTGCATGGACAGGTACACACCCCCCTGGGGCTGGCCAGTCCCGGTTGCCTGAGCTGACTTGGTCCCCAGCCCTCTCATGAGCCCCACTCCTGCTCCAAGGGCTGTTTGGTCTAAAAGCAAGATACTCCCCAGGCAGGGAAGTTCAGCCTGATTCCCACCATCATTAACCTGGCTACTGCTCTGACCTCCATCGGGGTGGTAAGGAGCCCACCTGGGGGCTGGGTGGGGGTTGGGTGGTGGGTGGTCTGCAGGCCCTCATTCTCTGGTCTCTGCTGATCTCAGGGATCCTTCCTGTGCGACTGGATCTTGCTGACATTCATGAACAAAAACAAGGTCTACAGTCATAAGAAATTCGACAAGGTGTGTACGCCACGCCGGTCCACCAGTAGCTGGCCTGTGACCCTTGCCCTTGCTTTGGGTCAGGCCCCTCCTCCACCCAGGCAYTGCTCCCAGGCCCAGCCACCCAGCCCTCTGTCAGGCCAGGAGGGCCAGCAAGGGGCCAAGCTAGGCCCGGCTGTCTGGTCCCCACGGCCTTGCCCTGTCTCTTCCCTGTCTGAGCAGATGGTGGATGCCCCAGATCAGCATGCTGGACTGCCCACCTCTAGGCTGGCTCAGCAGGACTCCATACCTGCAGACCCCAGAGGCCTGGCCCAACTCTAGTTCCTATCCTCACTGCTGCAGCTTGGGACCCTGCCAGAGCCTAGCTGCTTTGGCAGCACCGAGGACCCACCCGCCTCAGTAGCCAAGAGCCCATGAAAGGACTCCATGTAAAGGGGGCCTCACTCTTGTCCTAAGCCTGTCTCCCCACCCTTTCAGGGCCTGCCAACCCCCCTGCCAGTGGACACCCACAGGGCTTGTCACTTTCCTTCCTATTCACCATTCTCTCAGCCTGCTGGGACCTCAAGTCAGAGCTGAGATCCAAGGGGGCTCTGTCCCTGCTCTTGAAGCACACACCTACAACATCATAACCCCAAACTGCCCAGCCCTGTCCTTAGAAGCTGCAGCATGCTGAGTCCAATAAACCTGTGCTTGGTGCCTTCTAGCCTTGTTCTCTGGGGGAAAGCCACCAGTCCAGGAGTATAGTACCTGGTCAAGGGGCTCTGCTGGCTCACTGCCCACGGCCTGGGCTATCTCCCCTGCAACCAGCCTAGGTATAGAGGGCACGGGCAGAGCCACTGCTGGGGAACAGCAATGTGGTGATGGACTGAGCCCAGGAGCTGGCACTAGGGATGTTGGGGCCAGAGGATAATCTGGTTACCGCATCCTCAAGGGTGCTGTGTCAATGTGGTGGCGCTTGCTGGACTGAGACCAGGATGTGACTCCGCAGTGAATGTCTAGGGAGTGGCAAGGCACTGTGCAGAATGCCCATGGCAGATGGTACCCCACCCCATAGACCAGTACACCAGGTCTCAGGGTGGCATGTCCTTCCAAGGCCAAAGAGCTGGGAAGACCTTTGTCAGTGCCTGAGTCTGGATGGGCCTTGGTCCCAGCTCCTGAGTCCTTACACCTGGTGGTCTTTGTAAGTACTGGAACACTGGCTCCCAGCACTCATGCAGCTCCAGCCTCCATGAGTCACCAAACACCTGTGACATCCTCGTATTGGGCTCACAAGATGTCTGCTCTAGTTTTAGAGAAACTGGCCTTTCCACTGGGTCCCTGGCTGCAGCTCAGGAACCAGGGCCAGAGGCTCAGGTTTCTTGTCTCAGTTGTGCCCAGCTAGCCTGTCCTGCTGTACCCAACTGTCCCTCCCCCATCTTCCCCAGCTTCACTTCCAGGAAGCCTAGTTAGCTGCCCCGCCTCCTCTCCCTCGCCCTAATTTGATTTGATCCCCACTCAGGAGGTCTCAGCACAGCTCGGCTTAGTCCACATTCCAAGCAAGCAGGACCAGGCGGGCATCGGATTTCTCCCCAAAGGCAGCCTGAGCTCTCAGGGTTCAAACGGCCTGGGGAGAGAAGCTCAGCCCTCCACCCTTCCAGAGACCTCCACCCTTTTGTACAAAAGTGTGGAAAAGGCACAGCTGAGTGACAGCAGGAGGAACTTCAGGGAGGGTCTGAGCGAACTGCCACTTGGCCCTAGGGCACCCACCCCTCTGCCAGGCCTGAGTCCTGGGGAGTTGCAGGTTTATGTTTTATTTAACACTTGTCTACTGCCTTGATAAAGTGGCCTGGGCCTGTGCAAGAAAAGGCCACACTTGGCTTAGAGGGAGATGCGCAGCAAGTCCAGGGGGTGGGTACCTGGCAGAGTGGGAGGGCAAGTCCTGTTGTACAGGTGGACCAGCCTCAGCGCACGCAGGGAGCCTCTGCACCTGCACCTGGGGTACAGCCCTCAGAATATGCCAGGTCACAGGCCAGGCCACTCCTGGGAGTGTGGGCGGGTCCCTGAAGCTGCCCTGGGACTGCTTTTTTCCTCCTCTTCTCATCCTTCCTTCACAAAGAGCCTAAATCTTGCATGTGAGAAAGTACTTTTCCGACATCCAGGCTGAAACAGAATGTTAAGGAGGTCCCTAAAAAAACCACATACCTAGAGCCCTTCCTTGTGGGTTCTCAGGCCTTGCTCGCCAACCTACAGGTCTATCAGGACCCTTCCCTCCTGATTCTGGCAGACAAAGAGAAGCAAAAGCCTGGCTCCCACAGGCATTTGTTCTCCACTGAACAAGTAAGACTCCCGTCCACCTCATCGGCAGGTGCAGAAAGCAACAGAGGCTTCAAAGTGTGTTTATTGGCAGAAATGACCCCTCAGGACCCAAGAGGCTTCTTGCCTGATGACCTGCCTCAGAAGGGGGCCTGCAGCAATGTGGAGGACAGGGTCATTCCCTGCTCCAGCTTGTTCACGCCACCTCTGCACTCCCTGGCATGTTCTCGGTGGTCTACCCCATTCCCTGGACTGTCTGCTTTTCCAAGAGACTGGAAGTCAAGTGGTCATGGGACATCACGGGGAGCAGAGGGTGCCTGTAAGGATGCGGTGTCTAGGGCTGGGGCTTGCTAGTGGTCTGGCTGGGGGCTTTTCTGCAGCAGCCACTCCAGGGTCTCCTTGAGGTGTGGCATGCTGTAGTGCTGGGCAATGCTCCGGAAGATGCCAACCTGCTCCATGAAGACCTGTAAGACAAGACACAGTGACACCTGGTCCTACCAGGGAAAGGAGGCAAGGATTGAGCAGGCAACTGCGCCCACCTGAGTGCGGATTGTGAGGGCGAAGTCCCCGGCACAGCTGCAGTACACTGGCATGTGGGTCTCCTTCACGCCGTGGCACTTCAGGCAGACCTGAAAAGAGGCAGCAGCCTGTCCCCATGCCAGACCCACCAGCAGCTCCTGTTCTTGCTGTTGAGAGGACATAAGCTTCACCTCCCTGCTGCTTGCAACTCAGGTCTGTTATAAATGACACCAAAATCTCGCCGGCTCCTTCCCACATCACTGGCCCTGCTGCAGGCACCTGGCTGTAGACACCAAGTCCTGGGGCTTCCTCTGTCCATGCCAGCTGTCAACCAGGCCTGTCTCTGGGAGGACCCAGTGCTGGCTGCAGGTGCTGTGGAAGCCCCTGCTCCTGGTGCTCTCCTGAGCAGCCTTTGCTGCACCCTCACCCCCTCCTGGAAGGGCAGGGCCAACAGATGTCAATAGAACGTTGTCACTTGGACTCAGGGGCAGGGACTGACTGCTGGGGTGGTCCCCCGAGGTTACAAGAGTGACTGATGCACAGGTCAGCTTCCCGCAGTGCCAAGTTTGTGTCCAGAAACTCCTGTGCTGACCACAGGGAGCTCACCAGGTCCTGCAGGGTGAAGGCCATCAGCTTTCTCTGCAGGGCTTCGACCAGGGCCATCTCGATGGCAGCTGAGTCATAGGTGGCCTGACAGTTGGGGCAGAGCCACTGAGGCAGGACAGCTCCATCCTAGGACAGCAGGGTAAGGGGTGAGCGCCTGAGTGGTGGCCACAGCCCCCTGGGCCACAGCATGTCTGCAGCCTCCACCACAAAGCTGGGGGAAGAGGCTGGAGGGAGAAGCGCCAGGGGGAGGCACTCATCACCTGTGGGGCCCCCACCTTTGTGACAACCTCTGGCACAATAGCTCAAGAGGAGCCTGCAGCTGACCCGTGGGAGCCAGCAGGCAGCAGGGTGGACAGCAGGATGGCAGGACCATGGCCTCAGCTTCGTCTGCCCCATACCCAAACCAGCTCACCTGGGAGAAGGAGGAATCTTTGCACAGATCCAAGTCCCGGCAGAAGTTGCAGCTGTGGCAGATCACCTCGGGGAGCACATAGGAGCGGCAGGGGTCTCGGAACTGGGCCTCCTCGGAGAACTCACCAACCTCTACCAGGCGAAGCAGGTCTCGGTTCAGCTTGTTCACCTGATTGGTGATGTTTGTATCCAAAGATAGCACCTGTGGGGGACACGCCCATCAGGAAGCAGCTCCTAGGGAGTTTTGCTGCGGGAGACACGGGAGCCCTCTTTTTTTTGGTGAGGCAGGAAGTATACCAGGGATTGCACTCAGGGGCACTCGGCCACTGAGCCACACCCTAGCCCTGTTTTGTATTTTACTTAGAGACAGGGTCTCACTGAGTTGCTTAGGGCCTCATTTTTGCTGAAGCTGGCTTTTAACTTGCGATCCTCCTGCATCAGTCTCCCGAGTTGCTGGGATCACAGGCGTGGGCTACTGTGCCTGGCGACACTGGAGCCCTCATCAGCATGGCTTCACGGTGTCAACCCATCCCTCCCTATGGTGACAATCCTCCACAGGAAATGTAAGCTTCCCTGTGACCCACCAGATGTCTAAAGAAGCAATGCTGGATCCACACACCACCTTCCAGCAGGCAAAGGGGGCTGCAACTCGTCCTGGAAGGCCACCTCGCCTTGATATCCAAGCCAGAGACACAAAACCAGTGGCCCTGGAATAACTGGGGACCCTCTGTGGACTGGGAACCCAGGCCTACAACAGGTATGTTGCAGGATGGTGAGCTCGGACGGGTGCAGTGGGGCACACCTCGATTCCAGCCCCTCCTGGGGCTCAGGCAAGAATGCAGGCTGCAGGCCAGCCTGGCCACGGAGTAGGCTGCAGGGCAGTGGTAGTGCACTTGCCTGACACGGGAGGCCCGGGCTTCCTCCCCAGAGCCACAAAAAAGAAAGAAACTGAACAACACAYACCTCAGCTCAGACCACAGTAGAATCCTGAACTGTAAGACTTGGAGAAGAAAATAGCAGGAAACATTTGTGTCTTTAAAGCAAAAATTCCTCACTCATGACACRAGAGGCACAACTCACATCTGACAAGGAATTTGTGGCCAGAGCATACAAAGAACTCTCAAGAACAGAAAAAACCAGGGGCAAGGGCTGAGGCTGAGGGGCAGAGGCCTTGGCAGCACTTAAGGATTCAATCCCTAACACTGAAAAAAAAACAAAACAAAAAGGTGTCAGCCACTCAAAAAAACAAAACAAAACCCAAGAGATCTGGATTCTTCACCAAAGACGTGGACAGCCAACGGGCCCATAAAAATGTGTTCCCCATCAGCAGTTGCTAGGGAAGTACAAATCAAAACCACAGCGAATCCCACTGCATGTCCACCTGAACAGCTGGGATTCAAAAACCACCACCACCAGGATTTGGAGAGGGTGAAAGAGTGGAACTCCAGCCACGCAGCGAGGAGCACGCGCTACTTGAGTAAACAGCCTGGTACTTTCTTTCCATGCCAAACATACTTTCACACGGCCCAGCAATTCTTCTCCTGGGTTGTTACCCAGGATAAATGAGATTTACGTTCACACAAAAGCCATAGGTGTTTCATGGCTGCTTAGTTGTTAATTACCACAAAGGGACAGCAACCCAATGTCCTTGCCCCAGAGCTACGAGCAGCCAAGGGAAGGCCACTCTGACATACCAGGGGGTCCCACTTCACTGCAGAGTCAAGGAAGCCAGACCCC